GAGACCAGCGGAAGGAGGGTTTTACGAACGCGCGGTGGGAGGGATGGATGTGGCAATGAAACTCCTGAGGAAATGTCGCGAGGGACTGATTGTTGCGAGAGAGAATGGCGACTGAATGGGGTGGAGAGGAGCACGATAGTAAGGGTTACAGCGCATTTCGCATTTTGCACGTCTTGAGATAGTCCTGCAGCTTCGAACCGCGAATCGCGGCCCGACCGCAATGAAAGCAGCACTGAGAGATGTAGAGCGACGAGCCCTGGTACCTAAAGACTGGCCAAGGAGGCTATTTTAGGTCTGCGGCATGGTGTGGTGTGAGATAGAAATGGCGGAGATTGGATGTTGCCTGTTGGGTTGGATAACAAAAGCTGCGAAAATAGTTGTGGTAGGCTCGTGAAAGCTACGCGGTTGTCTTCGGGTAACAATAGGGTGTTTCCGGTCGAACGAAAACAGAAGTGACTTCGCGCTATCGCCCTGTCCACTTCCGTACTCAGATCTCCAGCGTGTTACCCTCAACCCTAGCCCAGTGGCACTGCGACGAGGCTCGCAGGTTACCAGATCAACTCGGCTCGAATTTCTCGCTGGCATGCTGGTCCATCCCTCGGAAAGTCACAATGCGCCTCTCCTATGCTCCCATATCTCTAGTCCCCACCACAAGAGATGTTGCAGATAGCAGAACTGGACTGGAACCAAATGCCCAAGTACCCGTAAAGTGCCACCTATAGGACCCGGGGGACTCTCTACAAATGCTGGAAAAAATGCTAGGGTGGACATTATGGCGGTTGCAATTTTTTAAGACCCGGGGTACACTTATTTGTCTATTAACATTAATGGATTTACCATGTACAAGCTCGGTAGGAGGGGGGGGGGGGGGGGGGGGGGGGGGTCTTATATTTTTCGCGCGAGAATCTTTAGCTTGGTGCCCCACGTGCGCGTCATCGGGAATGACACGCGGCGAAAATCAGAGCACGGGGCGGACTGAACGGCGTTTGCCCCGCACCGCACATCCTCTTGACGGTGCAGGGCAAAAGGTAGGTAACAACGATAACAACGATAACAACGATAACAATGTTAACAATGTTGTAGTGACCACTAGGTGTTGAGATGTGTATGTAGTACGGTAGGTAACAACGATAACAATGTTAACTGCACCAAACTCAATAGGGCCTTATATGGAAAGGGGGGGGTCTTATAATGATTAGCTACAAAGGGGGGGTCCTCACAAAACCTGCCACAATAAGAGTCCCCCTACCCATTCAAGAGTCCCGGGGGACCCTCTTACCGGCGGGTCCTATAGGTGGCACTTTACGGTAGTATATTGTTGCGCCTGCCTGCTTGATCAACAATTCCGTAGCACCGCACGCCACCGCACTGTATCCCTCCGCGAAATGATCGCTCGCGCCGCGCCTCTGGCTTCGCGCGTCCCCTGCTCCAGCGTGTTCGTGCCGCTGCCAGCATTTCCTTCTGCGCGTCGTCTGAATTCTTCCTTTCCTGTAGCTTCCATCGCGAGCGATTTGATCGCCTGTGTTACTCCTGGCACGCGTACTTTGCTACTAAGTGCACATAGTAGTCTTAATTGCCTCCGTTCGTCCAGGTCCAGTTTCAGTAATCTTACTCTATTCACGCATTCGCGCGCTGAATTGATCGCGACTCGTCGTCTAAACGAAGCGAGCGTAACGGCAAGTGCGGCAAAATCCTTCCATCGTGCTAGCGAGGAAGATTCTAACGAGGACGAATCGAAACCTCCCCCCGCGAGCGGGCCGACCAAGACCGTGAAGATCTTCTGCGCTAAGTGCCAGCAGCAGCTATACCGGTACCGCAAGGGCGGCAAAGGGGCATTAGTTAAGTGTTTCGTAGAGCGCATTGCGGAGGATTTCACGGCGGGGGACATGAAGTGCCCCGCGTGCGGGTCGGGGTTTGCGTGGATGCGCATGATCAAGGGAAAGCCCGCGCACAAGATCGTCGGGGGGAAGGTGTTCATGCGCAAGTGAGCGCGCGCAGGCGCAAGTGAGCGCGGGCAGGCGCAAGTGCGCGCTGGCAAGCGTGAGTAGTGAGCGCGGCAGGCCTGGGGAGTGCGGAAAGAGTTGCGCGGAGCCGTTTGGGTCCACCTTTGCAGCCCTGCTGTTCTGCTACAGTGCTGCAGTCCTACGTTGCTGCCCTGCCTCGTCATCGCCACTTCATTGAGTTCGCAAATTCGCCATGAGGCGAGCCTCGGTGAGAAGAACCGCCCTCCTCCTTCCCCACCCAGCTCGCAATGATAGCACTGGTGGTTCACGGCATTTCACGGGCTATTAACACATAATTTTCTGGCTTTCAACAGAGGTTTACCGGCTTTCAACCACATTTTGCTGGCTTTAACGACATGATATGGGCTTTTACTACATCTTCCTGACGTCTGACACCACGCCCTTTTGCATACCTCCCAAAGTGTCTCTCTCTACCCTCCTGCCAGCACGGTCCCCTCTCGCACTCGCATCTTCATGGTTGCTCTCCACAACCCACCGATCTCACCTTCGTGATCCCCCCCTCCCCCCTCTCCTCCCTGTCGCCAATCCTTTCTCTCGATTGCGCTGCGCCCCCAGCAACCAACGCATACTGCTCTGGTTTGGTCAGTCACTGCAAGGCTTCTCCCCCCTCCCTGCCGCTGCTGCTGTCACCATCCTCTCCCTTTCCTCCCTGCCACTCTTCCCTCTTCCCCCCATCTCCCCTCCCAGCAACCAGCGCACTCCTCACTGGTCCTCGGCCAGTCACTGCAAGGCTTCTCCCCCCTCCCTGCTGCTGCTGCTGTCACCGCGCCACTCACCTCCTCCCCCTCCTGCTCCTACCCCTCCTCCGCCGCCTCACGCAGCAGCACCAGCAGCACCAGCGGTACCCCCAGCAGCAGCAAGGGCAACAACGCGGGGGAGTGGCGTGTGTGGCGGTACCTCCGCCACCGATGGCGCTGGCTCTCTGCCTCCTCCTCTCTCCCTTCCTCCTCTCTCCCCTCCTCCCACCATAGCTAAGCGCGTGGCAGCAGCAGCAGCAGCAGTTTTGGGCTTCATTTTGGGTTGGGTGGGGCGTCACTTGGAACCAGCAGCAGTGGCTTTGGTAGGGCAGGGAGGGGGGTGGTGGTGGAAGGAAGGAGCAGGCGCGTGCGGCGGTGGGTGGTTGTGCTGGCGGCAATGGTGCTGCTGGTAGTGCTAGCAGGTGCTGCGGCTGTGGGTGTGCGCCGTGCTGCCTCATTAATGCTCTCTCATGGCGGCCAGGCAGGTGAGGGAATATAAGGTAGTGGTCCTAATAGTGGCGCTGGTGGCGCCAGTGGTGGTACTGGTACTGCTAGTAGGTGCTGCGGCTGTGGGTGTGCGCCGTGCTGCCTCATTGATTCCCGCTCATGATAGCCAGGCCATGAGTCGTCAAAGCACAGGTGAGGGAACATGAGGCAGTGGCGCTAATACTAATAGTGGCGCTCGGGGTGGTTCAGGGGGCGGTGCCAGCAGGTGCTGTAGTAGTGGGTGTGCGCTATGCTGCCTCGTTGATTTTCTCCCCTGGCAGCCTGCGTGACACAAGTGGTCAAAGTCTAGTTTTGAGTTGATTCAAAAGCAGCAGGTGTTGTAGTGGTGGGTGTGCGCTATGCTGCCTCGTTGATTTTCTCCCCTGGCAGCCTGCGTGACATGAGTGCTCAAAGTGCAGGTGAGGCATTATGAGGCAGTGGTGCCAATTGTGGCGTTGGTGGTGGTGCTGCGGGTGGCGCTAGCTAGCTAGCAGGTGCTGCGGCTGTGGGTGTGCGCTGTGCTGCCTCATTGATCCCCTCCCATGGAGGCCAGGCCACGACCGGTCAAGTGCAGCAGGCAGGTGAGGGAATATGAGGAAGTGGTGCTGATACTGGCGCTGCTAGTGCCAGCAGGTGAGGGAATATGAGGAAGTGGTGCTGATACTGGCGCTGCTGGTGCCAGCAGGTGAGGGAATATGAGGAAGTGGTGCTGATACTGGCGCTGCTGGTGCCAGCAGGTGAGGGAATATGAGGAAGTGGTGCTGATACTGGCGCTGCTGGTGCCTGCAGGTGAGGGAATATGAGGAAGTGGTGCTGATACTGGCGCTGCTGGTGCCAGCAGGTGAGGGAATATGAGGAAGTGGTGCTGATACTGGCGCTGCTGGTGCCAGCAGGTGAGGGAATATGAGGAAGTGGTGCTGATACTGGCGCTGCTGGTGCCAGCAGGTGAGGGAATATGAGGAAGTGGTGCTGATACTGGCGCTGCTGGTGCCAGCAGGTGAGGGAATATGAGGAAGTGGTGCTGATACTGGCGCTGCTGGTGCCAGCAGGTGAGGGAATATGAGGAAGTGGTGCTGATACAAGCGCTGCTGTGGCCAGCAGGTGAGGGAATATGAGGAAGTGGTGCTGATACTGGCGCTGCTGGTGCCTGCAGGTGAGGAAATATGAGGAAGTTGTGCTGATACTGGCGCTGCTGGTGCTAGCAGGTGAGGGAATATGAGGAAGTGGTGCTGATACTGGCGCTGCTGGTGCCAGCAGGTGAGGGAATATGAGGAAGTGGTGCTGATACTGGCGCTGCTGGTGCCTGCAGGTGAGGGAATATGAGGAAGTGGTGCTGATACTGGCGCTGCTGGTGCCTGCAGGTGAGGGAATATGAGGAAGGGGTGCTGATACTGGCGCTGCTGGTGCGAGCAGGTGGCTGTGGGTTTGCGCCACGCTGCTCATGGCCAGGCCAGGGGCCGGAGTGCGGAGGCCAGTGTAGAAAAGGAGGTGCTACAATGAAAGTTGTGGAGTGGGTTGGTTGCTTTGATCTCCTGGGAGAAACTGACGGGGGGAGGAGTGAGAAGGGCGAGTGGAATAGGCAAGGCACGCAGGGCAAGGAGCTTTCACGTGCTCGTGACTCGTCCCTCCCTGTCAGAATCTGCAACTCTTTACCTCTTCTTGTATCGCTGCTTCTGCCTTATGCCCTGATCACTTTTGCCACCCCATAGGTACAGTCACAGTCAGCAACAGGCTTGCAGGCTTCACATCCCACATGGATTCTACTGGCAAGCACTGGGGCAGCAACAGCAGTGACGGTGGCGGTGGTGGCGGCAGAGGGAACAGAAGTCATGGAGTGGCGATTGACAGAGGGATAGAGGAGGAGGGGTCGATGCTGGGGTTGGCTGTAGATTGGAGCGAGGAGGAATGGGGGAGGATGGAGAGGAGCGGAAGGGTAGGTATGGAGACCCAAGGGAAAGAGAGAGGGGAGGATAGAGGGGAGTTTTGGGTGAGGCGGCGCGTGGGGGGAGTGAGGAGAGCCGGGGAGAGGGTGGGTAAGGAGCATGCGGTGAGAGGGAGGAGGAGAGCGGGCGGTAGAGGGAAGGACGGAGGGGTGAGCAGTAAGGGGTTGCAGGAAAGGAGGAGGAAGCGAGGGGGAGGGAGAGGAGGGGGTGGGGAGGGGAAAGAGGGGGGGCGAGTGAGGGAGTGTGAGGGGGTGATGGTGGGTGAGTGGCCGGGAGTGGATGGCCTGGCAGCAGTGGGGGCACTCATGGCTGTGAGGGGGAGGCGAGTGAGGGAGGCGAAGAGAGGGGAGGGGGGTGTGGCGAAGGAGAATGAGAGGGGTGGTGATGGGGGTCAGAGCAGCAGCAGCAGTCTTCGATCCATTGGGTGTGTAAAAGCTGTTACCCTGCTATTATTCTGTTTGTTTGTTGCACTGTTATGCATCTTGCACTGTTATGCATGTTGCACTGTTATGCATGTTGCACTGTAATGCATGTTGCACTGTTATGCATGTTGCACTGTTATGCATGTTGCAATGCGTTTTGTTTCTGATTGAAGCTGCTGAGGAGGGAGTTCATAATCCATTTTGATGTGGCTGATTGACAGCTGCTGCATCTTCAAGTGCATGCATGCCCCTTCCTCCTTCCTCCTGCCTTCTCCTTCCTTCCCACTCCCCCTTCCTCCCCCCTTCAATCGTCCCCCCTTCCTCCCCCCTTCAATCGCCCCCCCTTCCTCCCCCCTTCAATCGTCCCCCCTTCCTCCCCCCTTCAATCGTCCCCCCTTCCTCCCCCTTCAATCGTCCCCCCTTCCTCCCCCCTTCAATCGTCCCCCCTTCCTCCCCCCTTCAATCGTCCCCCCTTCCTCCCCCCTTCAATCGTCCCCCCTTCCTCCCCCCTTCAATCGTCCCCCCTTCCTCCCCCCTTCAATCGTCCCCCTTCCTCCCCCCTTCAATCGTCCCCCCTTCCTCCCCCCTTCAATCGTCCCCCCTTCCTCCCCCCTTCAATCGTCCCCCCTTCCTCCCCCCTTCAATCGTCCCCCCTTCCTCCCCCCTTCAATCGTCCCCCCTTCCTCCCCCCTTCAATCGTCCCCCTTCCTCCCCCCTTCAATCGTCCCCCCTTCCTCCCCCCTTCAATCGTCCCCCCTTCCTCCTTCTTCCTTCCTCCTTCTCCCTTCCTCCCTCTCCTTTCCCCTTCCGCTCTCTCTTCTCTATCCCCTCTCTCCCCCTCATCACGTGCTTTGCACCACTTAGCATCACCTTTTCCACTCCCCTTCCGCGGCCCACACATCCCCCACCATCAACTCTCACAACAGCACACATCTCCCCCTCGTCTACCTCCTGTGCAGAGGTGGGTCCTCGTCTCTCCCACCCGCCCTCCGCACCTCACCTCACCGGGGAGCAGCCATGGACACACACCCGCGTGCTGCTCCTTCCCTCTCCCCATCCTAACTACCACACCCCCTTCCCTCCCTTCCCTCATCTCCACAGTTCCTGTGCAGTGGAGGGGCCTCATCTCTCCCACACGCCCTCCGCGCCTCAGCTGGGGGCAGGCATCGACTCGCACTCCCTCGTTCTGCGCATGGGGCACCACACCCCGCCCACCCGCCTACAGGCATACATGTGAGTGAGTGAGTGAATGAATGAGATAGTGAGTGAGTGAGTGAGTGAGTGAGTGAGAGAGTGAGTGGGTGCGCGAGTGAGAGAGTGCATTGGTGTGTGCAGTGCAGTGTGTTGACTCGCACTCCGTCCCGCCGTGCATGGGGCACCACCTGTGAGAATAAGCGAACAGGAATGAATGAACTAGCAGTGAAATGAGTACAAGTAGGAAACCCTAGAATTGTGTACCCCCTATAGGCTAACCCACTGTAGCCTACACAAGCAGAACATATATAATGTTTGACACACCCCCATAGGCAAAGTGGGGGAGAACAAGGGGTCACAAGACCAGTCAAGCAAAGCAAAGCAAGCTCAGGGTGGATCACAAAGTCACCACACAGTCCGAGCACAAGAGCAGGGCCAGAGGCCAGTTCACATGCAGGAGTACAGACATATATATAAAACTAGACAAGCAAGAGCAGGTATATATATATGTCACAGTACAAGTGAAGTCAAGAGGAGAGCAAGTGAGGCAAGACAGGCACAAGACCCAGCTGGGTGCAAAAGCGCTGATGGTCACAAGGCGCGAGTGCCTTGGTGAACACATCAGCAGTGTTGGCCTCAGAGGCCACGTACGCAAGTCGCAACTGACCACGCTGCTGCAGCTCACGAGCAAGGAAGTAGCGGAGAGCAATGTGCTTCGTTCTGTGCTCCAAGCGCTGCTCTCGACACAAGGCCAGCATGGCCTTGTTGTCTACGTACAGCACTGGAGGAGAACGAGGTGGCTCTCCAAGGTCAGTCAGCAGGTAGGTGAGCCAGCGAAGCTCCTGTGCAGCCATGGCCCCGGCGTAGATCTCAGCCTCACAACTGGAGCCGAGAACCGAAGACGAGCGAGTAGACCGCCACGAGACAGAGCCGGAACCAAGGCTGAAGGTGTAACCCTGTGACGACCGCTGCGTAGCCTGGTCGTCAGCCCAAGAAGCGTCCGCGTGGCCGGTAAGGACCACTGGACTCCGCCCTCCAAGCACTAGCCCCATGCCCGACGTACTGCACAGGTAGCGCAATACCCTCTTCGCTGCAGCCATGTGCTCTGGTCTGTGTCTCCCAGGAGCAACATAGCGTGCAAGAATGCTCAGAGGGTATGCAAGGTCAGGTCGTGTGCAGGTCATCAGGTACATGAGGCAGCCAACAAGCTCTGCATACGGACCACTCGACTCTACGGACTCATCCGAAGGCAGAGCTGAGAGTGAGTGGCGAGTAGGCAGAGGAGTGGCCTGAGGCGAGGAGTACGTGAAGCCAAAGCGCTGAAGGACCTGCTGCACCATGTGTGACTGAGTCAAGGTAATGGTGCGGCGTGCTCTGTCCCGAGTGATCTGCAAGCCAAGGTAGCTGCGCAGTTCACCCAGGTCTGTGCACGTGTGTCTCTTCAGCAGTTCGGACTTCACGTAGGCGAGTCCAGCAGTGTCCGCTGTGGCAAAGACCAAGTCGTCGACGTACACGAGGATGTAGAACGGCGGCAGTGAAGTGTCGGTGCGCAGAAACAGCGACGGGTCAGCAGTAGAAGGAGCAAACCCAAGAGCCGCAAGCGTAGTCCTCAGTGTGTCGTGCCACTCACGCGGTGCCTGGCGGAGACCGTAGACTGGCCGTCGGAGGCTCCACTGGGTGCCAGGAGGGAAAGTCCCAGTGAAGCCAGGTGGACGGCGCAGCCAGATCTCCTCGTGCAGGCTACCCTGCAGGAACGCAGTGCTGAAGTCGAGAGAGTGAAGCTCGTAGTCGCGCTGAGCGGCTATGTGCAGCAGCACCCGAAGAGTGGTCATCTTCGGGGTGGGAGAGAAGGTCTGAAAGTAGTCAACTCCCTGCCGCTGACTGAAGCCACGAGCAACGTACCGTGCCTTGAAGACAGGTGGAGAGCCCGGCGGCCGCTTCACCCTGAAGATCCACATGCCACTGACGATGTTCGCCCCAGGAGGGGGAACCGCGTCAACGTAGGTGCCTGTGGACTTCCAGGAAGCCATCTCTGCATCCATAGCTGCCTGCCACTGAGAGGAGTAGGGACCCTCTACGGCCTCCGCGTAAGAACGCGGAGTCGGGATGTCTAGTGCATCCGGGTCTCCCTCAGGGGCAAGAAGTACAGACGCGAGATGAGGTGAAGCAGCCGCTAGACACTGTAACTCCTCCTGCCTGTCCTCTAGGACGTCCGTGCCAAGAGCACACTCACCCCCGGCGGACGGAGGACAGACAGACGCAGACTCAGCAACAAGACGAGCAGCGTAGTCGAGACGACAGCGAGCAGCAAAGTCAACGAGCTCAGCGACTAGAGCAGACGCAGCAGTGGACTCAAAAGAGGGGTCAGTGACGACAGTAGCAAGCAGACGCGTGACAGTAGGACTGGCAGCGCGAAGAAAGTCCGACTCAGGGTCGGCAAGCGCAGGAAGAGAGGACTCAGGAGGAGAAGGCAAAGGGGCACGTAGAGGAGCAGTGGACGGACGCAGAGACATCCGGTGCGTGCCAGGGACAGGAGGAGGACGCTGACGCAAACCGCGACCACTAGCGCGAGCAGCACGAACCGGCGACGCGGGACGAGACGCAGGCTCACGACGCTCAGCAAGACCTCCAGTAGGACCAGTGTAAGGAGAGGGAGAAGGCAGAGGAGAGGAAGGCTCCAACAGTGACTGCGACTGGACAGGCTGTGGACACTCTACCGAAGGAGAAAGACCAAGAACCTGCTGTAGGAGCGGAACGAAGTACGGCCGAGGCCGCGCGGCAGCTCCAGACTCAGCAGGGACAGCACCAGCACCCTCACCGACAGCACCAGCGCCACAAACACCTCCAGCGGCAGGACCTCCAGCAGCACCAGCAGCAGAACCACCGCCAGGACAGACAGCAGTAGTCTCAGCACCAACACCCTCAGCAGCTCCAGCTCCAGTAGGACCCGCACGCCCATCAGCTCCGGGACCGGCAGCACCAGCACCCTCGACGGTCGACGAAGCTCCAGCTCCAGCAGCACTCCTCCAACGGCGAGCAAACCACTCGCGTAGCTCCTGTGGAGAGAGGGGCTCCCGGCGAGACGCAGCAGCAGGAGAAACCCCAGGCTCAGCAGCTCCAGACTCAGCACCCCCAGGCACAGCAGCTCCAGACGTAGCACCCCCAGGCTCAGCAGCTCCAGACTCAGCACCTCCAGGCTCAGCAGCTCCAGACTCAGCACCCCCAGACTCAGTAGCTCCAGCTCCAGTAGGACTCGCAGGCCCAGCAGCTCCGGGACCGGCAGCACCCTCAGCAAGCGAAGATGCTCCAGCTCCAGCAGCACGCCTCCAGCGGCGAGCAAACCACTCGCGCAGCTCCTGTGGAGAGAGCGGCTCCCGCCCAGCAGTCGCAGGCTCCGCACCTCCAGGCTCAGCACCCCCAGGCTCAGCAGCTCCTGACGTAGCACCCCCCGGCTCAGCACCCCCAGCAGCAGCACCCCCAAGCTCAGCACCCCCCGTCCTCGCACCCCCAGGCTCAGCACCCCCAGCAGCAGCACCCCCAAGCTCAGCACCCGCAGGCGTAGCACCCCCAGACTCTCCACCCGCAGCAGGACCAGACTCAGCAGCAACCTCGACTGGCTCGACTGTGTCTACCTGGGACACACCTGAAGGGGCAGGAACCTGAGGGGGGAGGGGGTCTACCGGGGGGGGAACTGGCACCAGGAAGTCCGGTGGGGGGGGGAGGGAAGGAGTACGGTAGGGGAAGAGGCGGTAGAAGGGGACTGACTCGTCGAACGTGACGTCCTGGGAGGACAGAACACGACGAGAGGAGGGGTGGTAGAACTGCCACCCTGGAGCGTCAAGGGGAAAGCCAAGGAAGACACAGGGAGCAGCACGGGGGGACAGCTTGTCCGCAGACAAGTCGCGGACAAACGCCCGAGATCCCCAGACACGGAACGCAGACGCATCGCCGACCTTCCCCGTCCACAGTAACACTGGGGACATCGCGGGCCGAGAGACCCTGGGGTGAAGGTTGAGCTGATGCGCCGCGTACCGAACCGCAAACGGCCACAGAAAATGGGGGGCAGCCGCATGCATCATGGACGTACGAGCGACATCCATGACCATGCCAATGCGGCGCTCAGCAATCCCATTTTGCTGTGGAGAGTCCGGAAGCGTAAAGGTCTGGCGGATCCCCTGTGCACGACAGTAGTCTCGCAGAAGGCGAGAGGAGAACTCCCCACCTCGGTCAGAGTGCAGACGCAGAACAGGAAAGTCCGAGCCGAAGCTCCTCCTGAGCTGGAGACGAGCCTCGCGGATCCAGTCGATCAGCACCTCAGTGACAGCACCCTTGCTGCGCAAGGGGAAGACTGAGGTGTAACGCGAGTAGTCGTCAACCACCAACAGGAAGTAGCGCTCGTGACCCTGCCCACGGACGGGGGCCGGGCCCCACACGTCCATGTGAAGCGTCTGCAGAGGAGCCTCTGTCGGGGGAAACTGGGAGGAGTGAGGAGCAGCCCTGAGGCGCCCCTCGACACAGGGGACACAGGAAGGTCCTGGTCCCGAAGGAAGGGGAGGGAGAGACTGGGGAAGACCAGAGACAAGGACACGGGAAGCCATGCCCCGAAGACGGGGCAAGGAGGGGTGGCCTAGACGGTGGTGCCACAGGAGAGTCTCGTGAGACAGGAGGCGACACGAACAGGGGGCAGACTCAGGACCAGACCTGGACGCAGCAGCAAACACCTGACCCGACGCTGCTACCTGACCGGACGCGGGGACAGGAGGAGACTCAGTGGTCAGGGTGTAGAGGCTCGACCCCGGCCGACGCGAGAACGTGGCCAGGTGCCGGCCTGTGCGTGCGTCCGTGCAGTGGGTCACCCGCTGACTCGCAGGAGTGAACTGGTGAACCCCCGCATCCTGTAGGTCTGCACCACTCACCAAGTTCGTCGAGAACGAGGGGAGGTACAGGCCAGACAGGGTGCCCGAGGGGGCAGCCGGACACGGGAGGACAGTGGAGAAGTGAGCGAGGACAGGACCCCCAGAGGGGTCAGCCAGGGAGACCGCAACCGGCCGACCAAGCGGCGTGAGTGTGGTGCGGTCCCGAAAGAAGGAGCGAGAAGCCCCAGAGTCAAGTGTAAAGGTGAGGGAGGCCGAAGCCAACGCGGTACCTGAGAGCGCAGCCTCACCCGCACCTGAGGAAGCAGACTCACTAGCACCTAGAGCAGCAGCCGCACCTGTACCTGGAGCAGGAGACTCACTAGCACCCAGAGCAGCAGCCTCACCAGTAGCTAGAGCAGCAGGTCCTATACCTGGGTCAGGCGGGACGCACAGGTGACCGGCATGGTCAGCACTAGTAGGCAATGCATACATGGCAGTGAGAATAGCATCATAGTCAAGAGCATATATATCTACCCTCTGCCTAAGCAACTCCACCCAGTCGGGAAGCTCAGCCTCGTCGCCAAACACGGCACGCCAGGCGTCGCTCAGACGGGCGAAGCAGCGGGACTGTGTATGACTACGCGTCCCACAAGGCTGACCAGTCCGAGTACCAGTGCGAATCACGTAAGAGCAGCGAACAGCACTGAGAGACCCTCCACTCTGAGCGTACCACTCACGAAGCTGGCGAGGCGTGAGAGACACGCGAGAGGGTCGCGGGAGCTGCATCTGGCCGCCACCACGAGTAGAAGCAGCAGGAGTGGAAGTAGGAGTAGCGTCGCCACCCCTACAGCCCCAACCAGCGTACCACTCACGCAGCTGCTGGGGCGTGAGGGACTCACGCAGGCGTCGCTGGGGCTGCATCTGGCTCCGCAAGTAGAAGCAGGAGCAGGACTAGCAGCAGGAAGGCAGGCAGCCAGGCAAGCCAAAAGGCAAGCAGGCAGGCAAGCAGGCGACGCGCAGCGTGCTAGCAGGGCAAGAGCTCACCAGTGGTGGGAAGAGTAGGCTCGGCGACGCAGCGGCTCGGCAGCTCGGCGGCTCGGCGGCTCGGGCAACTCGGGCGGCTCGGCGGCAAGGCGGCTCGGCAGCAACTGCAGCTCAGCAGCTCGGTGACTCGGCGGCTCGGCGGCAGGGCGGCTCGGCAGCAGCTGCAGCTCAGCAGCTCAGCGACCCGGTGGCTCGGCGGCAGGGCGGCTCGGCGGTGGGGCGGCTCGGCTGCTGCAGGTGAGCGATGAAGGAGGAGGAGAAGCAGAGGAGGCCACACACCTGCCACCCCGCAAGCGGCCCCCTCAGGTCGCCTCGACAGGCGACGGGAAAAGGGGGGGGTGGGTGGTGGGGGCCGGTAGGTGCAGCGGCGGGGCCAGCAGGTGCAGTTGCGGGGCCGGTAGAAGGGGACGGCAGCCTGGGCGGTCGTGGGCGGCTCACGCTGGGCGGGTGCACGGGCGGCTCGGCGGGCGGCGTACAGGCAGCTCACGGGCGGCTGCGACGGGCGGCTCGCGGGCGTCGGGCGCTAGGGCGCTGGGGCGACGACGGGCGGCGCTCAGGCGTCAGAGCGGGCGGCCGTCAGGGCGCTAGGGCGGGCGGCGCTCAGGCGTCAGGGCGGGCGGCCGTCAGGGCGCAAGGGCGGGCGGCGCTCGGGCGCTAGGGCGAGCGGCGCACGGGCGCTAGGGCGGGCGGCCGTCAGTGCGCTAGGGCGGGCTGCGCTCGGGCGCTAGGGCGGGCGGCGCTCGGGTGCTAGGGCGGGCGGCCGACAGGGCGCTAGGGAGGGCGGCCGTCAGGGCGCTAGGGCGAGCGGCGCACGGGCGCTAGGGCGGGCGGCCGTCAGGGCGCTAGGGCGGGCGGCGCTCGGGCGCTAGGGCGGGCGGCGCTCGGGCGCTAGGGCGGGCGGCCGTCAGGGCGCTAGGGCGGGCGGCGCTCGGGCGCTAGGGCGGGCGGCGCTCGGGCGCTAGGGCGGGCGGCCGTCAGGGCGCTAGGGCGGGCGGCGCTCGGGCGCTAGGGCGGGCGGCGCTCGGGCGTTAGGGCGGGCGGCCGTCAGGGCGCTAGGGCGGGCGGCTTTCGGGCGCTAGAGCGGGCGGCCGTCAGGGCACTAGGGCGGGCGGCCGTCAGGGCGCAAGGGCGGCGGCGCTCGGGCGCTAGGGCGGGCGGCCTTCAGAGCACTAGGGCAGATCGAAAAAAAAGAGGTACTAGGGCCCGGAGCGCGCTCCGGGCAGGAAAAAAATGGTTAAGAGGTAGCGGTGGTGGGCCCTACGAACAGTTCCCACAGGGGAACCTGCTCGATACCATGTGAGAATAAGCGAACAGGAATGAATGAACTAGCAGTGAAATGAGTACAAGTAGGAAACCCTAGAATTGTGTACCCCCTATAGGCTAACCCACTGTAGCCTACACAAGCAGAACATATATAATGTTTGACACCACCACTCCCCGCCCGCCCACCCACCTGGCAGCCTACGTGTGCTTATCTCTGTGGTGCAGTGCGGTACTGTGCAGTACAGTCTGTATCAAGTACTGAGTGCATGTGAGTGGGGGACATGCAGATTGGTCACACGGCAGCATGGGAGGAGCAAGCCTGGGCAGTCGCGCAGATGGACGTGTTGGAGGGGGTGCGGGGGAATGGAAGGAGGCTGGCACGGTGATTCAGCCTCTAGCATGGTAGACTTGGATGTAGAGGTGGGAGTGTATGTTTTTTGAGAATTCTCAAAAAACATGGAATGGAATGGAAGGAGGCTGGCACGGTAGAGGTGGATGTGGCGGGTTCAGAGGTGGGAGGTACAAGTCTCCCGTTTCCTGAATCACAATTCCTTCCCTCCCTTCCTCCCTCCCTCCCTCCCTCCCTCCCTCCCTCCCTCCCTCCCTCCCTCCCTCCCTCCCTCCCTCCCTCCCTCCCATCACTCCTTCACCCACCAGCCTGGACAGTTGCTCTGATGTGTGGATGGAGGTGGTGGGGAGTGGGGAAGGGGCCTCTCTTTTTTTCCATTTCGTCCCCCTCTCCCTTTCATTCCCCATTCACTTTCATTCCCCCGTCTCTCCCCCCACCAGTCTGGGAAGTCACACTGATGTGTGGGTGGAGGTGGGGGGGAGAGGGGGAGGGGACATGCACGGCACACACGAGGTGGGGGGAGGGGGTGGAGGAGGGGGCACAGGGAGGGGGCTCACCAAGGGAGTGGGGGAAGGAGGGGGGAGAGGGGTGGGGAGAGGGGTGGGGCGGCGACGCTTGCTGGGGCTGAAGGGCCGATCGGTGGCATACCTACGTGCTGACAGGTGAGAGTGTGGGGAGTGAGAGAATGGGGAGTAAGAGTGTGGGGATTATCATTATTTGACTCAGAAGTAAAAATTCTGAAGCTGATGAAGCACCCTATGACATACCTGCGTGCTGATAGGTGTGAGGAGTGAGAGAGTGGGGAGTGAGAGTGGGGAGGGTGAGAATTGGGGAGTGAAAACGTGGGGAGTAAGAGTGTGGGGAGTGAGTGTGGGAGTGAGAAGTGGGGAGTGAGAGTGTGGGGTGTGAGCGCATGGGGAGTGAGAGTGTGGGGAGTGAGAATGTGAGGAGTGAGAAAGTAGGGATTGTGAGAGTGGGGAGTGAGAGATTTGGGAGTGCGAGAGTGGGGAGTGAGAGTGGGAGTGAGATTGCGGGGGGGAGTGAGGGTACGGGGGGGAGTGAGAGTGTGGGGGGGAGTGAGAGTAGGGGGAGTGAGTGGAATGGCCCATAGAGCATGAGTGTATGCAGCGGCCATTTACAGTGTGATGGTCGATGCCAAGGGGGAAGGATTTGCGTTGTAAGGGGTGGGTGGCTATGACCATCTCTGCTCACTGCCATCCATGGGATGCATCAGTTGAGCATGAGTCATGACAGAGGAGGCCTCACATCAGCACATGTAGGGTTGGATCGGGTCGGTGTCGGGTTTGGGTCGGGGTCGGGCTGGGTTGGGCTCTTCTGGTTCGGTTCAGGTCGGTTCAGTTCATGTCGGTTCGGTTCGGTCTGAGCCAGGACGGGTCCATTCATGTCGGGTCGGGTCGGTTTGGGTGGGATCGGTTTGTGACTGATTGGGCTGGTCGAATAGGTGCAAGTCGGGTCGGGTCGGGTAGGAGACCTGGTACCATCTCAGATCAGTGGATTTTTGGTTGACTCATTAGTCACGAAACCTCTCAACCCTTCATTGGATGGCATGAGTTGAGTCAAGTCAACATCGGACGAATCGTGTGTGTTGCCTTGAGAAAGGGGGGGGGGGGGGGGGGGGGGGGGGCTACTCAAGTCGGCGAGACCAGTCAAGGCTCGAGTCGCTTGCTTGTGTGTAGTGTGGCGTGGCAACCATGGCGACCGTGATTTGACTTGCTGCAACGCGCCTCATGATCCGCCTTCGCCTTCTCTTCCTCCCTGCACCTTTCCTTCCAAATTCTCGTCTTCCTGTCTCTCCCCTCGCTCTCTGTCTCCTTCTCGCTGCCCTCCAGCTCGGCCCTTGTTGCCGCACCGCCCTGGCTGCCAGTGCTGCAGCAGCTGGGTGTGAGCAGGGGGCACGTGGGCAGGCGACGAGGAGACACGGGTGCTGGGGAAGAAGATGAGGTGAGTGAAAGCACTTTTAGCATAGACCGTATTGAAGATTTCGAGAAATTTCAAAAGTGAGACAGGTTTAGCATTGACTGTACTACCATCCGTTGTGGCGGTGCCTCAGATATTGTTCTGGCATGGAGCGTATGGAGAACCATCCTACGCTCTGGATAGCCGATTTTTTTAATTGACTCATTTCTGTTATGGAGTGCATGGAGCACCACCTGTGCTCTGGGAGGTTTGAACTGCTCCCCATCCGTCCATGCTTCCTGCCCCTATTCCTTCTCCCTCCCCACCCTCGCTCTTCTTCCTCTTCCTATTCACCCGTCTCCCATCCTCAGGCCCTCTTCCTTCCCCCGGCACTAACAGACGAAGCTCGCCGCCTCTTCAATGCCTTTGCCCACCACTTCCGATGCGCCATTGGTGCTCCCATGCCTGCACACCATGCTGCCTCTGGTGCTGCTTCCACGGCCGCATCTGGTGCTGCTTCTAGTTCCATAGCTGCTACTGTGGAAAGACCTGGGGTGGTGACAGCAGAAGCAGGGGCAGTAGAGGCAGCAAGGGAAGCGGCCATCCCCATCCCCATGCCTCGCATGCCCCCGCACTGGCCGGTGCTGTACCTGCTGCTGCATGCGTGCGACAAGCTCACATTGTTTGGCCTTATCCGCAACGCCTCCGTGCACGGGCTGCAGAGGTGGGTCTCTCACTCTAACCTAACTCTCATCTGGCAAAGGCCACGTAACCTGAGAATCGACTCAAATGCTTCACCTCCGTCCGTATGAAAACCCCTTGCCAGCCTCGCTTCCTGCCCCATGCACATGCCCTCACTCTGCCCAGAGCTCCGCCAGCACCTACAGAGCTGTTCATACTAGAACCCTTGTTGTTGCAAACACTTTTTTGAAATTTCGAAAGCACGAACTGGTTGTACCAAAGTCCCAACCTCTAACACTTTTTGCATGCTCTAACGTGCACCCCCAACCTCTTTCTCACCTCCAGGTCACTTCTCCTCCCTTGTCTCCCACCCTTTCTCCCCCAGCCCCATGCACGTCCCCTTAATGCGCTCGGAGCTGCATCGGCGCCCGCCCCTACTGGTGCTGGAATTGCTTCTGCATGCACTAGTGCGCACCAACCTGCTCAGCTGCTCCCTTGTTTTCTGCTCCGCACCCCTTTCCTCCCCTTCCTCCCCTCCCCATCCTTTGCCCTCCCCCCCAGCCCCATGCACGTTCCCTCAATGCGTTCAGAGCTGCACCGCCGCCCATCCTTGCTGGTGCTGGAGTCACTGCTGCATGCACTGGCGCGCACCAACCTCCTCAGCTGTTGCGGGGGCATTGGGGACCCTCACTGCGTCCCTTCCTTCTTCCCCCTTCCCCGTCCCTTCCCCTCTCCCCCCTGCGCTTCCCCCCCCAGCCCCATGCACGTCCCCTCAGTGCGCTCGGAACTGCATCGCCGCCCATCCCTACTGGTGCTAGAGTCGCTGCTGCATGCACTGGCACGCACCAACCTCCTCAGCTGCTGCGGGGGCATCGAAGACCTCTTCCGCCACCTGCCCCTGCTGCTGCCTGGGGCAGGGAGTGGGGGTCGGAAGGGGGCGGTGGCTTCTGGTGCAGGTGGTTTTGATGCAGGCATGGCTGGGGGGAGTGTGGCTGGGGATGGTGGGGGGATTGTAGAACGAGGCTTGGGGAAGGGAGGGCAGGAGAGGCGAGGAGAAGAGGGTATGGCACAGAGGCGTGAGAATACTTGGAGTGGCGCTGGTGGTGATACTGCTGATGCGAGTGGGAATACTGGGAGCACTGATCTTGGCCGAAGATCTGTTAACGAGGAAGACTATGATGAGGATGAGGTGGATGGCAGAGGGAAGACAGGGAATGTGGTGGAGGGACAGGGCGCAGTGGAGGGGGCAGGGTGGGGGGATGAGTATGGTGATGAGGGGGAGGATTGGGGGGAGGGAGGAGAGGGGGAGGGGGGTGGAGAAGGGGCGGCGGGAGGAGAAGACGATTATGAGTATGATGATGACTACTATGGGGCACCTATTGAGGAGCTGATGAGTGACTTGGAGCATGCCAATGCGGCACATGCCCAAGAAGTGCAACAAACAGATGCGTGAGTTCTTTATTGTGAATATAATTGGGCCGGTATTTTTCATAGAGATCTGGTTAGACCGGGAATCAATAAACCAAGGTTGGGTTCAGTTCAAATAGCAGTTCTATAATCTTAATTGACCTTCTTTACTGGGTGTAGATCAGACTGACATTGCTCGGTGAACAAGAGGCTTGTTTGTTCAAATTTTATCCTCGTTTGTCCTCGTGAAGTCAACGAGGCTCCTATGCTGAGCTGGTGTGGATCTGCATCTTGCCACGTCATTAAAATCTGCCAAGCGGGAAGATGGGGCGTGTCTGCAGATTGCACCAGCGTTGCCTGGGTGCTTTGACAGAGAAGACTCGGCCAGATGTCAGTCAGTACTTGACGGCAACCGTTTCAAAGTCCCGAATCTTGACGGAAACCGTTGCCCTATATTGACTTCTTCCTCTCGCTGGATTTTCCGCATCCATCCTTCCCACAGACCAGCTGCTGGTCCTTGCACATTTCAGACCTTCCACACCACATCCTTTGTGGGCTAGAGACTCCGCATTCCCCATTTCAAGATTTCAAAACATTTAGTAGCTTCATCATTCGTCGTTACGCTGACTCGACATCGACACCCTTCAAGCCTGGAAGTGCTATCGGAGATAGCGGTGCTTGTTCTCGCCGCGCATTCAGACTCTCATCGAGGCACTCCATAAAGCGTACACGCGGTAGCTCGTTCGACCAGCACTTTCCCGCGTGCAATCATGGCCGCACCCCGCGAGGTATTCGTTATAGGCACAATGGACACTAAATCCGAGGAGCTCCTCTTCCTCGTGTCGCAGCTCAAACGGTCCCTTACCTCCTTAACCACGGCCGAACCGCCATTTTCCATCTCTATAATCGACGTCTCCGCGTCTCCGTCATCCGCGGCTCTCGTTACAAGCACAACATTCCCTACAATCTCCGTCTCCGACGCCCTCGCGTCGAATCCAGGCGCCGCCGCGAAATCCGCCGCGTCTCTCGCCGCGGATCGCGGAGAGGCGGTGCAGGCGGTGAGCGACGCGCTGAAGCGCTTCGTGCGTGGGAAGTGGGACGCGGGCGTGCTGGCGGGCGCGGCGGGGATCGGGGGGAGCGGCGGAACAGCCATCATTGCGCCCGCGCTTAGGGAACTGCCCGTCGGTGTTCCCAAGATTATTGTTTCCACCGTCGCCAGGTGCGTTGCTATAACGAGGTGTGATTGTAGCGAGTCGCTAATGCCATCCGTAGTGGACATGGCGCACCCCTCTGAACCCCCGCTTCATTACCCTTTCCCACACCCATCCAATCCCCACATGTCACAAAACGCAGCGGCAACACGGCGCCATACGTGGGAACATCGGAGCTCCTGGTGCTGCCATCAGTGGCGGACGTGGCGGGGCTGAACGCCATTCTCCTTTCACTGAACCCCCCTCCAACCCCACCCTCTTCCCCCTCCCATACACCAACCAACCAGCGGCAACACCGCACTGTACGTGGGCACGTGCGACCTCCTACTGCTGCCGTCCGCGGCAGATGTGGCGGGCAGGGCTCATCGAACCCTTTTCACTGAACCGCCCCCTGCCTCCTATCTCCCCAACTACCACGCACTCATCGCAGCGGCAACACGGCGCCATACGTGGGCACGTCCGACCTGCTACTGCTGCCGTCAGTGGCGGACGTGGCGGGGCTAAACGCCATTCTCCGCGCTGCCCTCTCCTCCGCCGCCGCTGCCCTCGCCGGCATGCTGCTCCTGCGCGCCCTGCCCGCCGCCCAACCGCCCTCCACCGCTCTGCCTTCCTCTGCGCCAGTAACAGTGGGGATCACGATGTTTGGGGTCACTACCCGGTGCGTTACGGAGGTGCAGCGACTGCTCGGCAGCAATGGGAGCAAGGGCGGCAAGGGAGGAGCAGGGGAGGGTGGCGCAGGGGGGGTCGAGACAGTGGTGTTCCATGCGACGGGCACGGGAGGAAGGGCCATGGAGGAGAACGTTGCCTCTGGCCTCATTCAGGTGCGCTCTCACATTGACTCACATGTCTTCACATGTCGCAAAGGAGGTGGGGGAGGAGGGAGGTGCAGGCAGGGGGGGTGGAGACAGTGGTGTTTCATTTCATGCGACGGGCACGGGGTGCAGGGCCATGGAGGAGAACGTTGCTTCGGGGCTCATCCAGGTGCGCCCTCGCTTATTCTCATTCCTCCTTCCCTTTCCAACCCCTGAAAGATTGACATTCTCACACACACTCCGTGCTCTACTGAGGGTTCGCCGCTCCTCAGGTCCCCTCTCCGTACTCCCTCTCCGTACTCCCTCTCCGTACTCCCTCTCCGTACTCCCTCTCCGTACTCCTCCCTCTCCGTACTCCCTCTCCGTACTCCTCCCTCTCCGTACTCCCTCTCCGTACTCCCTCTCCGTACTCCCTCTCCGTACTCCCTTTCCTGTCCTCCCGACCTGCTTCTCTAAGATCGAGCAGAGACCGTGGTGTTATGGTTTTGAGACGTCGCAAAGCAGAGATGGAGGGGTTATGCTGAGCAGCAGCACATGCCCTGTCAACCTACCAACTCCACCGAGCCATCTCAGCTCAGCCCATCCTGATTGCCCCACTTTCCGTCCACACCTGCTCACCTTCCCTGCCCACGGCCTGTATTCACAGCTTCGTGGGAGTCGCTTCAAGCATTTCCCCCACTCCTTCATCCTCTCTCCCCCACTTTTCAAGCGGTTCTGGGCAGCACACCAACAGAGGAAGCGGACATTGTAGTGGGCGGCACCATGCCGTGCCAGCTCACCACATTCCTGAGAGTCACATCAGCCACGCCCCTCTCTTCCCACTACTCCCCCCTCCCAGGCTGTGCTGGACATCACAACAACAGAAGTGGCGGATTTCATAGTGGGCGGCACCATGCCGTGCCTGCCCACCAGGTTTGATGCCGCCATCCACAGGAAGGTTCCTCTCGTGCTCAGCCTGGGGGCGCTCGACATGGTCAACTTCGGAGAAGCTTCCTCCGTGCCCAAGGAGTTTGACGGGCGCACCCTCCACGTGCACAACCCGCAGGTGTGATTGTGGGGGGATGCGCAGGGGAGAAGGGAGATATTGCCAAGGAGTTCTATCAATGTGGCTTTTGAGTCGACTCAGGAGTTTGACGGGCGCACCTTGCACATGCACAATCCACAGGTATGATTGTGAGGGGACTCTCAAGGAGCGGTTCGTGATTCCGAGGGAATGTTGTGTGGGTGATGCAGTTGGGTACTAAGAGGTATGGGTGAGGGGTGGTGTGGTGGGAAGAGGTTGGTGATTGTGAGGGAATACTGTCAAACATAGTACAGGGGCGCACCACGCACGTGCACAACCCCCAGGTATGATTGTGAGGTGAGATGCAGGCTAGCTAAGGGAGATGATCAAAGAGCGTGATGATTGTGCTTCGTGTTTCATTGTAAGCCAAGTGTCTCTGGAGCGCGTGGCAAGTATCTGTGCACTCTCTCCCGCTCCCCTCTCCTGCATCCCTCTCCCCCCTCCTCCCACTCACCAACCCCCCAGGTCACCCTCATGCGCACAACGGCCGACGAGAACCGTCGGATCGCGCAGTTCATTGCGGGCAAGATGAACCAATCAGAGGCGCCCGTGACACTACTAATACCTGAGGGGGGCCTGTCCGCTCTAGACGCCCCAGGCATGGCCTTTTGGGACCCTGCTGCTGACGCTGCTCTGTTCGAAGAGCTGGAGAAGCAAGTGGTGCAGACGGATAGCAGGAAGGTGGGTAGAGGGTTGATGGGGGTGAAAGAGATAGAGTGCGGTACACATGAGTGCAATGGAGTGGGTGGGCTGTCGGCCCTAGACGCCCCGGGCGTGGCCTTCTGGGACCCTGCTGCTGACGCTGCTCTGTTCGAGGAGCTGGAGAAGCAAGTGGTGCAGACAGACAGCAGGAAGGTGGGTAAGGTGAAGGGTGTGAGGGATGGAATGTGGTGCAGTGTGGTTCTGTTTGTGGGCTCTGTGGCTGATGCTGGTCTGTTTGGGAGTCTTGAGCAAGAGGTGTTGCTGATGGCAACTGGGCAATGGGTGGTGTGTGCTGTGAGTGACCTGAACCTCTCACTCACTCTATCTCTCTCCCTCTCCCACTCCTTCCCCCACCTGTTACTCCCTCCCGCTCCCTCTCCCTCGTAGATCATTCGCCTGCCCCACCACATCAACGACCCTGCCTTCGCTGCTGCCCTCGTCAATGCTCTCCTGCCCCTCCTCCCATCCACCCAGCCCCACTCACCTCCTCCTCCTTCCCTTCCCACTGCTTCTACCGCTGACCCCTCTGCTCCCGCCACTACTCCCCCACCCGCTGAACCAACCACCATCACAACCACCTCCACCTCTCCATCCCCTTCCGCACCCCTCCCCACCACTCTCAACCCACCCCCTGCTTTCGACCTCAGCCCGATCCCCTGGCTGGTCGACCGCCGCACCGCCATCCTGGACTCCCTGCGGTTCCAAGTGGCGGCAGGGAGGGCGATCATAGGGGGCGGGGCGGGCACGGGGATAAGCGCCAAGTGCGAGGAGATGGGGGGCGTGGACCTCATTGTGATCTACAACTCGGGCCGCTTCCGCATGGCTGGCAGGGGGTCGCTGGCGGGGCTGCTGCCGTTTGCCGATGCCAATGCTGTGGTGGAGGACATGGCTAAAGAGGTTCTCCCGGTGAGTGTGATTGCGGTGAGCAGCGGCATCTGATGGTATTTAGAGGTCCTGCTGGTGAGTGCGACAGCATTGCGAGGAGATGGGAGTGCAGAACTTCCCCACAGTCGGCCTCGTCCCCACAGTCGGCCTCGTCCCCACAGTCGGCCTCTTCCCCACAGTCGGCCTCGCCCCCACAGTCGGCCTCTTCCCCACAGTCGGCCTCTTCCCCACAGTCGGCCTCTTCCCCACAGTCGGCCTCTACGACAGCTCTTTCCGGACCAACCTAGAGGAGACCGCCCCTTCTCTTCCTAAACTCTCACCCCCCTCCCCTCCCCTTCTCTCTCCCCTTCTCCCCCCCCTCCCCCCACCCCCA